CATGAAGCACCCAGTGGTAATGCCTGGGCTGTTCTGCATCACTGTAGTGGTTCAGTGCCAGGTGGAGGGAAACAGAGGCAGTTTTCAAACAAGTACTTGAAGTAACTTCAGTATTTCTCAAGATCTTTTCACAGAAAGTGAGGGGATGTGATATTTGCAAATTTTTGAAGGAGAAAATGGCAGTGTTTTGGCTGGCCTTTTAGGTAGTTCAAGAAATCTTTCCCTGACAAAACAACATTCAACAATACACTGGGCAGCTGCTGGCCTTCTAAAAATCCATCATGCATATGTCAAGGTCACAGCTCTCCATGCCACCAACCTGATAGCCTTCTATGATGGGATGACTGACTGGGTAGATGAGGGCAGAGCAGTGTATGTTGTCTACCTGGACTTCAGCAAGGCTTTTGACACTGTCTCCCATCACATCCTCCTAGGTAAGCTCAGGAAGTGTGGGTTGGATGAGTGGACAGTGAGGTGGATTGAGAACTGGCTGAATGGCAGAGCTCAGAGGGTTGTGGTCAGTGGCACAGAGTCTAGTTGGAGGCCTGTAGCTAGCAGTGTCCCCCAGGGGTCAGTCCTGGGTCCACTATTGTTGGATGTATTCATCGGTGACCTGGATGAAGGCATAGAGTGCACCCTCAGCAAGTTTGCTGATGATACAAAACTGGGGGGAGAGGCTAACACACCGGAAGACTGTGCTGCCATTCAGAGGGACCTGGACAGGCTGGAGAGCTGAGCGGAGAGGAACCTCCTGAAGTTCAACAAAGGCAAGTGCAAGGTCCTGCACTGGGAGTCCTGGTGGACAACAAGTGAAGCGTGAGGCAGCAATGTGCCCTTGTGGCCAAGAAGGCCAGTGGGATCCTGGGGTGCATGAGGCAGAGTGTTGCCAGCAGGTGGAGGGAGGTGATCCTGCCCCTCTGCTCAGCCCTGGGGAGGCCTCAGCTGGAGTACTGTGTCCAGCTCTGGGCTTCCCAGTACAAGAGAGACATGGAGCTCCTGGAGCGAGTCCAGCGGACGGCTACAAAGATGGAGCACTGGACTAGAGCATCTCTGCTATGAAGAAAGGCTGAAAGAGCTGGGCCTGTTCAGTCTGGACAAGAGAAGATTGGGAGGCGATCTCATCAATGTCCACAAGTATCTGAAGGGGGGGTGTTGAGAAGATGGGGCCAGTCTCTTCTCCGTGGTGCCCAGTGACAGGACAAGAGGTAATGGGCAGAAACTGAACCACAGGAAGTTCCATCCTAAACCTGAGGAAAAACTTCTTTCCAGTGAGGGTGACAGAGCACTGGAACAGGTTGCCCAGAGAGGTAGTGGAGTCTTCTTCCCTGGAGATGTTCAAAAACCCTCTGGATACGGTCCTGGGCAATGTGCTCTAGAGGACCCTGCTTGAGCAGGGAGGTTGGACTAGATGATCTGCTGAGGTCCCTTCCAACCTCAACCATTCTGGGATTCTGTGATTTCTGTTCAGGTATCTAGAAAATGGGTTGTCCTAGCTGATGAAGGAGGTTCTTTACTGTTACACTGGCCAAAGAGGAAACTTAAAGTACTGCTCACTGGCTATTAGGAACGCATAAAAAAAATTTAGCAAAAGCAAAGCCACCAGTAACAAAACTTATTTTGGTTTAATTTATTATTGCTTTATTAAAGCCTGCTGATGTTAAATAGGGGTAGCAACACCTAAACTTTAAAAACACAGCTTTGTAACATGCAAGTAAAGTTATTGGAAAAGGTGTCTCTAGCATTGAGAAGGAGGTAGTAAATAGGCAGGTGCATGTGCCTGGGTGTGACAAGAGAACAGGGCACTGCAGGCCAGCTATCTAGGGTGGCACATTTTGAGTGCAAACTATCAAATGCAGCACTGCGCAGGCCTTGCTGTGTGCGCCATTCCCTGTGCTGATGCCCTTCACATATCAGTAAGGGAGCAGGAGCTCTTTAAGTCACAGCTCCTGTAGCTTTTTTCTGGACCTGAACTCAAGTTCCTAAAAGGGGTGTGTGTCTACATGTAAGGCTGTTGGAACTGGAGTCCAGCACTTAAGTGGTAGCACTCAGAAAATGTTGGATCACCTCTCAAAAACAGAGTCCTCATATTCTGTGTAATAACTTGTGGATGATAATAGTAGTCAGGACTCAAGTGCTGAGAAATAGGTCTCTTTATTGTGCTTTGTTCTTGTGAAAGTCAATTGGACAAAGCTGCTGCCAATTCACTAGTCAAAGATAGTACATAAAGATTCTTGCAAAGAAACCAGTTGAATTTATATTCTGCAATAGTGTGGCCAATTAATTTTTTTCTAAGGTTTTGATATTTTAAAATACTTCATATTTTGAGCTCTTTAAAAAGACTTTTTAGCATTTTCTGCAGAATGGAAGAGAGAAGTGGATTACTAATACTAAAATGCAGTCTTTTGTCTGACTAGACTTATATAAATATAAGATATACAGTTTGGACATATGTACATTTGTAGTGTTTGGACATATATAGATTTGTAGTGTTTGATCTCAGAATATAATCATCCTAAACAGTCTCATTATATTCCTTGATGCATCATTTGCACAAGAAATAAGGGTGTGCGGAGAAGAGATGGGCGAATTGTAAGAAGCTGATACTTGCATTCTTCCTTCACATTTCAGTCACTTCTTAAAAGTGCACTGCAATTTCAGTACAACTTACCAGTGATTTGCACAGTGTTACATTGTTTTAAAAACATGTTATCCTTTGCAGTGGTTATTTAACTTAGAGACATGAACAATAAATAAAGTTTTGTTGTCTGAACTTCTGCCTGCCTAATTGTAATGAAAGGAGAAGCAGGAGTTATGCAAACATTTTATTAACGTATAAAAATAGAGCCAGCAATTTATACAGCCTGCTGTAATGACATCTCATTAAACACAAACTAGCTACCATAGGAAGTAGCTCTTGAATTGTCTCTGCCAATTTGTGTATTAACTTAAGATTCTGCTTACCCCAAACCATAAAATTAATTGGGGAAAAATATTCCATGCAGTTTAGGAGGCCCTTAAGCCTTTTGAGCAGGGAAGAAAAATGTAACGGACAATTCCAAGCTTGGACAAGTTTTGAGTAAAAGCTTCTCAAAAGTTTCCTCAAAATCTGGAAAATAATATAATCTAGGAGGCAGTCGTTCCATGGGATCACCTCTGGGTTGTGAACAAGTGCACATTCAGTATCCGTATCTCCCCTTGACCAATGTGGGTCTTGGGGTGCTATCTACCTCTAGGAACAGCTTAAGATTTCACATGAGTCCCTGATCTTGAAAACCTGCAGGTAAATAATTTATCTAAAAACATTGCTGATCTAACAGAATAGCTGACTTGCCAAACTAGTTACCTGTGAATTGGTAATAGTCTGAGTAGCTAGTTTCCAAACAGCGATAGTAACTTGGTTCTGCAGCAGAATGGATTTTTACAGGTATGCACTAACTGACTGGAACTCATTTCCTCAGATGCAAAGTTTTGGAGCCAATGCTAGTGATGAGTTATGAACAAATAGCTCCACAATTAGTTTAATACAGCTTAAATTGGTGCTGCTTCCGAAAAAGAGGGTATCATCCACCTTTATCCTCTTCTTCCTTCATGTTGGTATTAGTATTCATGCAGTTGTGCCACAACCTTGATCAAGACCAATCCAGCTGAAAATGTACAGGGCAAAGTTACCTTTTATATGGAATTGTTAGCTAACAAGATTCACTGTGTGAAGGGAAGTGTCAGTGCAAGAGAAGATGGACAAAAAATGGCTTGGGGAAGGCAGGGCTCCCTCTTTTAGTACCAGATTAAACTGAACACAAAACTATGGTCAGTGTGTCAGCCTGTATCTGTGTCATGATGTAGCACTAGCTCTCGTAGTCCAGGGCACTCACAGCATGACATGAACTGCAGATGTGTAGATCTGCAATATCTGATTCTGTGCTGCTGCCTACCTCTGTGGTCACAGGTCTGTGTACCTCTTCGGAGCTCATCCATCACCTCTTTGTAAAATGAAACAGCTGATTCACAGGTTTTTGAATAAATAAATTTTATTCTTAAAAGTTTTACTCTCATCTTAGCTAGTTTACTAACGTAGAAGTAACCTGGAGTTTCCTATTGCGGAAAACAGAACCAGTCGGGGCACCCGTTCCTCACCATATGTAATCTGAATGTATTTAGCTGTTTGGCAGCATGAACTACAGTTTCTGAGACTGAAGGTAAATAAATAAGCTCAAATGTCTTCAGTGGAGGTACCCATGCTTATATCGTCTGAGAATCTAGATAACAAACTTAACAGCAAGCTATTAAGAAATGAAGGCCTGAATTTACTTAATTAGAGCTGCAATTGTAAAAATTATGACCTTGAATTTGCAATAGCATCAATTCTGTGTGAAGTAACTAGAGACATTTCTCTTTCTAGATTTCTTGGTATCTTCATACCATACAGGTTGTATTTTCTATTGATGTGTGGTCATCCGTGCTGTTTTTTTGCTGTCTCTTTACTAATCTGTCTGTAGGAATGAAGAAATCAGTTTTCCTAATGAAGAGAAGAGCACTTGGGAGTTCAAACTTTATCACCGTATTAGAACAGTGTAAAGAAAAATATGTTTTGCAGTCTGGTGGATAGGACAGGTCTTTATGCTGTTGGACTCTGGAGGAGTTGGAGCGTAGCTTTGTAATTCAGATACGTTGCAAAGAACCAAATGGTGTGGCCAAAGCTGTATTTGCATTAATCCTCTGTATGCAGTTAAATTGTAATCTAAAGTACGTATGTCTTTTCAGATGCACTCCAGTATCTCCCCTGCTTTTGTTAGCTTTTTATTCAGCTCATTTTTTTTCCATTATATTCCTCTATGCTTCATGTTCTTTCATTTCATGTCCTTGTTTAGAGGAAAGGTGGCTGCAACTCTCGTCACTCCATTTCCCTTTACTTTTCCCTTTGCATGGAAGCCTCAACTGCTGTCATGCTCAGCTGTGAAGATCCCCGAGGCTAATGTTTTATTCGTTTTCCACCTTCTAAGGCTCCTCTGTTCAGATAGCAGAAGCAAGACAAAGCATCGTCCTTTTTGTGCGCACTGATTTAAGAAGTCCAACACACCTGAAACCAAGGCAATTAGGTGATTCTGCTGTTTCCTGCCTTATTTTTTTTTCCTTTATAAGGAAAAGAGGAGAGAGAGGTGTTGTGTCTTCTACTAGATTTTTTCTCTAGTTCAATTTGCCCAGTTGCCACAGGCATTTTAACGGGGGTGCACCTGGCTGAATAGTTAACTATGCTTTTTATTTCTTTTTCAGGGCAGGTGGGGTACAACTGTCATCTTGTGGTATTTACAAGAAAACAGAAATAGAAAACTAACTTTCATTTTACATGTAGCATGTCCTTGTGGGATGGACATAGACTATACAGAAATTAGGTAGAAAAAGCATTTTGGCTATGGAAACCTGCCCTGTTATGTTTTCCTTCTCTTGCCAGCTTTCAGCCTGTGTACCACAGAACGTTGCACTGTTACTGAAGACCTAAAATTTGAAGTCTGTGGTCCTCAGAGTTGAGGGAAGTTGAGCCTAAAGAGAAGCTGCCATGTTTGCTGGATGTGTTAAAGACTGGGATTTATAAGTAAGTTTCTCTTCTCAGTCATTAAGAAACACAAGAAAGGAACATGGAACATCTGTATGTACATTTCTATATTTATACGTTTCTATTTTTTCTATCTATTTTCTAGGCATAAGTTTTAAGACATATACATATATGAAATGAGTTTCACATCTAAAACAGTGCAAATGTAGGATGTTGCTGGAGTGGCTGTCCTTCCCCTACCTCTTCATACAGATGAGACAAAAGACCCATACCACAGGCTTGAGTTTGGTAAGATTACTGTTTTCAATGAACATATACTGATTAAAATTGAATTTCAGTGCTAGGTTGTCTCCCGTTGACTCTCAGTACTGCTACCCTCCTGTAGACCCATGGATTTTAATTTCTGGTAAGCCTCAGCCTTTGTTTCTGACACGTTTTAGCCTTTGCAGCTCCGCCTTCCCCCACGTCTTCTCTGCAACCCTTTGGAGCTGGAGCTGCAGCATGTCGGTGTGGAGCTTAAAGATTCCCCCAGAAGTTCAGAGGGAAGACTGAAATTGAAATTAAACCTAAATTATGACTTTATGGTCTAAAAGGTAAACTTAAGCAACTGAAAATTAAGTATAGACTTTAACTGCTCATTTTCAATTTGAAAGCCTTCCCCCCCCATGTCAATCCTATCAAGCCTATGCCACACTTTAGAGAAACAAGAGGAGAGGGAGCTCTTAACAGCTTAGAATGGAAGTGTCACTGATGGAAAGGAGCTGGGCTGGGAGCCCGAGTTAATCTAGCAACATCAGCCTCACCTTCTCCAGTGTCTTCCTTCAGCAACTAGAGATTTGACTTCCGCGGAACAACCCCATTGTGTACCAGCACAACCCAACTCCTCATCATGCGTTATAGTCCCAGCACAGGAGTGGTGCTTGAGTTGCTTGAAAGCTTTGGGAGGCTCCAGAATGACAAGTCAAATGTCTCTGCATATGAAGTAAGAAGATACAGCGTGCAGTTAATCTTTGGGACAGGCTAAGAGTAGTCCAAATGAGCTAAATTCATGTTCTTCAGTTTAGAACCTTATTTAGCACAATAAGAAATTATAAAAGTAAAAATCTATGTTCATTATGTGAGCTAGAGGAGATGATATGGAAAGTCAGGAATGGAAATGAAAAAACAGAATAACTTGTTTATCCTTCTTTTAAAAAGTAAAATTTCCAGATTTTAGCTACAAAGATAAAGTTCACAGTCTTCCAGCCCAGCCGCTGTACTTTTCTGGGAATTGAGAAACACTATATAAAGAACTTGGTGTTATAATTAAATTTCTCTTTCACACAACTTCAGTTTCCATCTAAAACGACTCCCAGTTCAGCATTTCATGTAAAATCAGAGGAGCCAGGTGCTTCAGAATTGCTGTGGCTGAACTGGACAGAGAATATTATGTTTTTCTCTTAAATGTAATCAGTGATGCCTCAGAAGCAGTTGACATCCTTTTAAGTTTTTTATTTCACTTAAAATGGTAAAAATCCCTTCAATTTTCTTATCTCTAATAGTTTCTTAAACTTTTGTCTATTTATAATTCTGAATAAAATTCAGAAACAGCTAATTAGTGTATATGGAGATAACTCTTTAACTGATACCATGCTCTTTTTTTACATATGTTTTTTTCCTTTTCAGGAAAAAATAAATATGTCTAAATATAATAAATCTAAAAATAAAAATATCTTAACTTTATATCTCTGAAATCCCCATTACCATTACAGGATTATTCACGTATAAAGTTGTGCATGCAGATAATGCAAGCAGCATGGCTTAAGAATGCAAACACCTCCTGATAGAGACTATATTTGTTATATATGGGGCATATGATGCTTAGTACAATCTGACATTCTGATTGGGGGATCTAAGTGCTCCTGCAATAAATTTTTTTTTGATTGACAGTTAAGGTTAGCGATTAGATGAAGTTTGACGGGTATTATAGCACCTTGACTTAAAGTGATTGAAGAGGTTAAGGAGAAAAAATGGAATTTTAAAATGGCCTTTGTCATGAACCTGGCTTTGTTTTTCGGTGGAAGAGGGCCATACAGAGACTGTATTCCTACTTTTTACTACAAACCCCAAATTTGGTATCCTTTAACATTCACAGTATATAGTATTTGTCAATGAAGAGAGCAAAGGGAACATTCTGCACTTGAAAAGCAACCTGGTTTCCAAAGGAATAGGAATTCTAGTCTGAAGGAGAAGGAAAATCTGAACCCAGATGAAAAAGTGAATGAGTGCTATACAGTATCCAACTGGTGGATGAAAAACTTTAGATATGCTATCCTGCCCCAAATATTCTTGAAGCTTAGCTGTAATGCTCGAAAGAGCTTTCTAAAGTAGTAAGTCATTTAGTAGGAGACACCACCATTTTAAGTTTGGTGTCTAACCTACCTTGTCCCTGGGGGCAAGATAATTGTCAGAATAGGAACTGTGAAAGTCAGGAGTGAGCAGGACAGCTTAATCTAGCTACAAAGGGCTTTTGCAAAACAGGTTCTTGGAGCTGTATAAAGTTATCAGCAGGTTCCTATTTTACTTGGGATTTACAGCCTAGAATGCTGTCCTGATTGGTGTCTCTGTCCTTTCACTTAAAATATGACAAGGAGTCATGGATTTTTTTAAGAAAGATAACAGGAGGAAGAGTTGTCATCCTCCTGTTTCTAATAAGTCACCTGGGAAGTTACAGCCTTCAGCAAATAAAACCTAGATGCTATTTTAAGTGATTGACTACATCTGTAATCACCGTGTAGGATATATGAAGGGCCTGTTACTCAAGAACAGAGAATTTTTCCCCTTTTGCATAGGATATAAGGCAGGAAGTGCGCCACACCAGTTTCTCTCAGTGACGCTACTGAGATGGACTAATTTCAGATAGATAGTAAGTTGTTTTCTGTTTATTAAATGCTGAGGATGTGTATGTGCCTTTACAGGGCTTCTCCAAAGACTACTTTTCACTCAGCAGAATTTGTAAAGGCTGGCTCCTATCCTCTGCTATGCAAATGAGGAGCCTAACTGCCTTAGAAGATGATCTATTTCTGATAAATGCTCAATCTGTCATTATTTTAGAACAAGAAAAGATCAGGAGCTTGAACAGCAGAATTGCAAACTCAGAAGGTTATGAAGACATTACTAGATTCAGAAGCCTAAGGCCACAGTAAATGGGCAGGAGCTGTGCACTGGCAAAAGCCTTCGTCACTGAATCAGTTAGAGGCCATTCTAAAAATCTTCCCCAGGGGAAGCAACTCACACCCTCCCTCTATCAAGACTTCTTCAGCACATGAGATTACCAGGGAGGCTCCCTGGGAAGTGGTGTGGCACCAGCTGGTCATCTCATGCACCGGTTCACCTGGTAAAAGCCTATTTGAGGTGGCTGCAAGCATATATTATCTTTTTCATCTTTGACACTAATCAGTCCTAGAGTAGTTTGCGTTCCTCTGACGCCGGTGAATCATTATTCAGCATGGATAGGACTGCTCTGGTTATCTCCATAGTTAGTCCTAAAAGGCTGAGAATGTCTCATTCTCCCTCTCCACTCCTAGCCGTGTTAGAGTTGATGAAGGTAGCACCTGTGGCAGCAGGCCTTGGTAGCACAGTATGTTTCTAGCCTCCTCCTGCTCCTGTCACATTTCTCCTGAGGATACGTTATGGACCCTTTGCGTTGGAGCCATAGAATTTCTCAGTGCTACAGCTGTGTTAAAGGAGGCCTTCTCCTTGGGATTCTCTTTGGTAGGTGATAGTCAGATCTTGAAGGCCAAATGAGGTTTCTGCTGTCAAGGCAGTAGCGATCCAAATCCTTATCCTAGGGGACTGAGTTTCAGACACATGGCAGCACTTGAGGCATAGATTAAGTGCAAAAAAATCAGGAGATTTCTGGAGTGTGTTGATGTCAATTTCTTGACACAGGTGGTTGATGAGTCAACTAGGAGAGGTGCTCTGCTGGACTTGTTACTCAGGAACCAGGTCAGACTGGTTGGGGAGTGAAGGTTGAGGGCGGCTTTGGCTGCAATGACCATGAGAGCTTGTAGTTTAAAATCCTGAGAGAAGTGAGCAAAATAAATAGTCGAATTGCAACTCAGAACTTCTGGAGAGCAGATTTTGGCCTGTTCAGGAATATACTTGGCAGGATCCCATGGGAAACTACCCTGGAGAGCAAGGAGTTCTAGGACAGGTTATTGATCTTCAGGATGGCTTCCTCAAAGCACAGAAATGATCCATTCCAAATCGCAGAAAGTTGAGCAAAGTGGCAGAAGGCCAATACTGATGAATAGGAAGGTCTTGACTGAGCTCAGACAGAAAAGCGAAGTATACAAAAAGTGGAAGCAGGGACGAGCTACCTTGGTGGATTACAGAGACATTGCCGAAGCCTGCAGGGAGGGACTGGGAAAGCCAAAGCACAGCTGGTGTTTAAAGCTGCAGGGGCAGTTGAAACTAGTGAAGGGCACAAAATGTGGGTCAAGTGCTTAATGTGGCAGTGGACGTAGAGACAAAAGGCATGAAAAAGGGTGACATACTCAATGCCTTTTTCTGGCATTTTTTTAGCTAGTAATGTTTTCCCTCAGGCCTGAGCCTAGTAGCAAAGTATGTGGGAGTGAAACAGTGCCCACAGCAGAGAAAGACTGAGCATTTAGGCTTTTAGGACATACACAAGTCTGTGGGACCAGGTGGGATGTGTCCAAGGGTGCTGAGGAAGCTGGCCTGTGTCATTGCGAAGCTGCTGTCCATGAACTTTGAAGGTCATGGTGATCAGGGAAGTCCCTGAAGTCTGGAGAAAGACAAAAGTCATAACCATCTTCAAGAAGGGCAAGAAAGAACCAGGGAACTGCAGGCTTAACAGCCTAACCTCAGTCTCTTGGAAGATTATGGAGCCGATCCTCCTAGAAGCATATGCTGAGGAGGCTGAGAGAGCTGAGCTTGTTCAGCTTGGAGAAGAGAAAGCTTCAGGGGAATCTTACCACTGTCTGCAACTACTTAATGGAGGGGAATATAGAGAAGAGTTCCAGACTCTTCGTGGAGGTATATAGTGATAGGACAAAAGTTAATTGACATGAGTTGCAACACTGGAAATTCTAATTACACGTACAGAAAAATCTTTTCACTCTGAAGGTAGATGATCACTGGAACAGGTTGTCCATAGATAGTAGAATTTCTATCCTTAAGAGATAGGCAAAACCCAATTGGACAAGGCCCTGAGCAACCTGCTGTATGTGGATGAGCTTTGAATGAGAGGTTGGACTAGATGATCTCCAGAGGTCACTTCCAACCTGTCCTTCAAAGGGGCAAGGCAGAGAGAAGCAGATGGCAACAGTTGCTGCTCTTCCATTTAAATTTGCCACTGCACATTAAAGAGCTCAAGTGTCAGAGGTGAGGCACCTCCACGTTTCAATGCCAAAAGAAGACAGCTGAGTTTAGGACTGTGGTTTTTAATGCAGAACCCTA